AACATTTAGTGAGTGTTTGTGTCTAACACAGGTGCTAGGTATTATGCTTTCAGTTTGTACATATAATTATTATTTTATAAATAGTATACATAGTAGTAATACTAAATACGGTTCCCAAAAAATATTTCGCAACAGTAAATACAATAAATATAATTTATATACAATATATATATATATATATATATATATAGCTATATATAGCTATAAATATATATAGCTCTCTCTTAACATTTAAAATTTTATAAGTTATAACTAATATTTTTTTTTTTTAATACTAAAAAAATTAAATACCATTAAACATAATTAAATATTATCTTAAAAGGGCACAAAACAAAAAAAAAATTTTTATTAAAAACAATTATTAAATTAGTTAATTACTCAGAACTTCAGACAATTTTGTCAAAATTCATATTAATATTAAAATATTATTATAGTATTATGATATATATATTTTTAATTTTAGCATTGAATATAGTACCTACATATTATAAAATTTTTAAAATTTTTTTTTTTCAAATTAGATATTTATAAACATAATTTGTGTGATCATGGAATACAAAAAAAAAAAGGATTAAATAAAATGAGAACAAAATATGGTTTAATTAAAGAATGGTTCAATATTGAATGTTTGAAAAAATCAATAACTCAATTTCTCACTACTGACCAAGTTGATAAAAATGTTGAATTTTCGGTGCGAGAAATGATTAAAGAGTTTTAGGAGAGCAATGATTTTTGTTTTGTTCGTGTAAGGCAAAATCTCCTTGCCAATCAAGTAGGTGTGCTTGTTTTAAAAACAATATGATAACAGTCGTTGCCATAATCAATTATCGTGTAAAAACGAATAATAAAGAAGATACTTCATAGGTAACACTTTTGCTTATAAAAAATAATATACCTACGAGTATGGTTTATAAAGAATAAAATAAAAATATAATGTAATATGATACAATTTATTATGACTATAATTATTGTTATATTTTTGTTCATAGAACAATATAGAAAAGTACAGTAATAATACTACGATATCTGGTTTTATAATAATTATACAAAGTGCACAATATAAGTATTATCCGTTTCATGAAATGGATGTCCATATAATGTATTTTCGTTAAAATTCATGATCTGGAAGAATTTCACTATCTGGATATCCAGTTCATGAAATGAGTAATTTCACTATTTGGATGCGACATATACAAATATATGAAAAAATTCTATCACACTAGCTTATCTTTTATTAATATTAAATTAATTTAAAAATACAATTTATAAATTTTTAAATATAATTATGAAAAAATAATTAGTGGCTAATTTATAAAGATATCAAAAAAAAATTTAAAAAGAAAAATGATTTTATTTTCAAAAATGTTAGTATATAAAAGCTATACCAATTAAATCATTGAATTTTATTTTCATTTAAATAATTTCAGTTAGAAATTGTATACAGTCAGATTATATATAGATATGTACAAATAATGTACTTATACTAAATTTAACTCAAAAAATCAATTAATATTACTTTTAAATGCACATTACTTTATTTATTTCAAAAATGCTATCAAACTTATATCTAAACTACAACAGAACATATATTATCATTTTTCGTTAATCCAAGTGAAGTTAAAGCACAAATGCTATCATATTCTAGTACTACTTGTCAAACCACCATTTAAAAAGCATATTACTGCTCAAATACGGCATATGACATATGAATACTTACTTAATGATTTATTATTAACGGAAAATTTTCACAAAAGCTACAATTAAAAATATACAAAATAATTGAAATTCATAAACCGTACCCTACTACATTTTCATTTCTAACTCTGAATATAAGAAATCGTAAATTAACTGCATACATTTTCTACAGTACTAACAAATATATATATATAGTGTCACAAACGAATCCTATGAGAATAATCCGAACTCCACCAACACCTCTATTGTAACGAAGATTCAATTTCAACACGGGTAATACAGAAAAAGTGATGATGTGAAACCACCGAAATCCTCTCCAATTCCAAGGCCATTTGTACTATATGCTCTTAAAAGTATAGGTTACATTATTTTTATTTTCATCGATGTATTTGAAGATAAATATTAATATTATTCAGTTCACATTTTTTACAAAGGTATATACACCGACTGTTATAACTTTGAACTTAGTTTAGCTGAATATAATATTATACAATATCTGCGTTATCACAAAAATGTGTGTGAAATGGAACTACGTGAGATGTATTTTTTTTTTCACAAAAAATATTGAATATTTTAAATATATAATAGCAATGTCATACTTTTCAACAAATAATTACGTGTATATAACCATTGTATATATATACACATAAATGTGTGTTTGATAATATTTATGAATTACGAATATTTGCAAGAATACGAAATCATTTTACTTGATTCATAATAATAACAATGACAGATTAATTTCCCTGACACCCCCACCTTGGAATTTTGAAACCAAAGTAGGAGATTTTTTGTGTTAAGTTTGCACTGGTCTGGGTCCAATTTTGAGTGTTTGTGTTGCAAACTCTGATTTTAAAAATTTTAAGTTAATTTTTTAAGGGAAAAAGAAACCATAATTCACCCTTAATTCAACGTTTTGGAATTCTTTAGTGCTTCTAGTATTTTCCTATAAATTGTTTGTACTTTTTTTTTGACGTTAATGCTTTACTTCCTTTTGAGTTATTCACCCTTTTATTATCAAGCAGGTGATAAATACATGGTGACACCTTACCTTTATTGACTACAAACACATAAAAAAAAATTGTATACCACGTCGAACTGGTGTTGATATTATCTCATTTTCTTCGATTTGTTTAACTCAAATAGAAATAGACCATTAACGAAGAAAAAAAGTACAAAAAAACAATGATGAAATATTAAAGAATTCTAAAATGTTGAATGTATGGTGAGTTATGGTTTCATAGTACCAAAATATTGAAAAATGTATTAAAAATCAAGGTTTAAAGCACAAATACTAAAAATCGGGCAATAATCAGCAGAAACAAAGCACAAACAAATGGTGCAATCAAAAGTTGGAACTCCTGAAGGGGGATGCTATAATATCCGTGGAGCCTCCAACTTGAAAAATTCATTTAAGATCAAGGTTTGTACCATAAATAACAACACAAACCATCATAAATGTAGCATCAAAAAACTTCTTAATTTGATTCTAAAATACCGAGTTGAATGTGTCAAGGACATGCACCTAACAATGACTATTCATCGTAATACAATGTATTTTATTTGAATATTTTTTCTTTAAAATTAAATGTCAATTCACCGAGGAAGAGAAAAAAAGATATATTTAACTCACATAGTACATGCATAAAGATAATTCATTGGAATGTGAAAATTATATTATTTTAGTTAAATACCGAAAAGGAAAACCTGTCAACAAAAATTTTGAATATCATACATTTATTTGCTGTATAGCCTTTTATTACTATAAAAATAATTTAAGTATTGATTATTTATATCACGATATGGTATATCCAAAACAAAAAGTTTAGTGTCTTAAGATGATTGATGTATCAACTGTTTTATTGATAGAAGAAAACACAACTGGCTTTTTAAAAATACGTATTTTAAATCGATTAACTGCATTTTACCATAATGATAAATTATAGGAATAGAAGTTTTATTATCAAAATTATATTTCAAGTGTAGACATACAGAAACATGAAATTAGTATTCGGATTTCCGACTATTTTTTGAATTAATAGATTGTTGTAAATAAGCTGTGATGAATTATAATAATTTGAATATATAATATACATGCATATGATCATGTATGTGTGTATTCCTGCGTATGTGTGTGCGAGTGAATATAATAACCGTTATTGTTTGGTGCTCTATTCGTGTTTGGACTTCCGGTCGTACAGTCTTATATAATAGGGTAATCATGTAGGTAAAGATACAATAAAAACATCAATATTAATATTATTATCCTAGTCACAAGGAGAAAGGATATTTTATTGTGATTATTATTTCTATATTTCAATAATTTTAGATGGATGAAAATTAAAAATGATATAGTGTAGCCGTACCAACAAGAATGTGTCCCTACACATGCATTTTACGTCAGGTATAAACAATACAATTGTTTGATAAATAAAATACAAAAATTAGCTATGAAAATACAAATGCGACAAAGACAAATGTTTGAAGAAGAAAGAAATTTAAAATCACACATGTTTTTTTTATTAGCTTCTAGTAAAAACTATGACAGCTCGATACTTAAAGATAACACAGTTAGACATTAACATAAGAAAAACAATAAAAGGTGACAATTGACAAAAATTATAAGTATATAAAAAAAAAATTACATTGTATCAATATGGGTGCTTAGATAATAGTGTGAGAAAAAAGTATAAATAACTTAAATTGCAAAGCCAGCTTCCAATAAGAAAATAATTATTTGCTTAATGACCATTTCAGATTGGGTGTTAAGTATTGAAGGAAGATGAGGTGAGACATTAGAAGATTTTAAGTAATTGAACAGTGATAAACGTTTAGTATAAAGTGAAGGACGGTCAAATAATAAATGAGAAATGTCACAGACGCTTTCGGTTAAGTGTAGTGTATAAATGGGAGAATTATTTAACCCAAGTTTATATGCATGATCAGGTTAGATCAAATCATACATGTTATAAATCAATATTGCAACATTTAATTACATACAGATTCGAGAAAAAACCAAAATGAGAGGTAGGTTGAGTTCATCTCCACTAGACCAACAATTCTATAGTAAAATAACGTGTGGCTAACTCATCGACTTTCCGGTGTCTGATGAGCTGTCAAAGGTAAAGTATTGAAACGGTTTGTGTGCATAACCCGTTTATGTATACGTGTGCGTGTATGTGATTGCGGTGTGCGCGTGCATGTGTATGAGTATGTATTTTTGTATTTGTGTGATTGCGGGGACCACTAGTGGTTGCTGATGGCTGATGGCGGGCCGAGGTATATATAATACTTGTTGGTCTCACCTGTTGCGGGCGCCGAGTAGAGAGTGCGACGAGTGCGGGCGCGTGCGCACCGGCGAGGACCGAACGTGGACACGGGTGGCGACGGTAGCGTAAACAGAGGCGTGTGTGTGCGAGAGGAGAAAAATACGCGGACGGAACGTGCCGTTGAGAGGAACACGCGAATAACCAACTCTGTGATGGGACAGCGCGCGCTTGACTGACTGACGTCCGTCCGTCCACGGCGGCGGTGCACCGTTCACTGTGGTACCGGCTGGAAGCGCTGGCTGGCTGGCTGGCTCAATGGCTCAATGGCTGGATGGCTGGACGGCTGCCGTGCGTCTCGTCGCGCGCCCATTTCGTCGAACCAACAAGTTGCGCTGTGGCGCTTGCAGCGGCGACGAGCTTTCGTTCTTTACCGGATTTTTTTTGTATTTCATCCCTCCGCGGTACCCATACCTCCTTCACATCCACCATCCATCTCCACCTACCAAACTCCATAGCTTACCCACTCACCCTTCTTTTTCTCCTACCGCCCGCCCTTCATCTTCCGTCAACCGATCCCTACCAACGAATCACCACTTGCCCTACCACCGTGACGCACCTTCCACCACGCAGCCCTGTCCATTGTCCTTACGTACACCATCCGCCGCCACACGCACATTTAGTGCGTTTTCCTCTTTCACTCGGTGCCGCGCGCGGCGTTCACCTGACCGGGAGACACGTTGATCAATATATGCCCTTCTACCCTAACTACACACTGTCTTACCACGATCTTAAACAATTGAAAAATACCTTTATTTTATTATTGTTGTTGTTGTTGTTTATTTGTGTGTACGTGTGTGTATGAGTGTATGTGCGTATATGTATGATACATTATTATACAACTTCGTATATGTATGCGTATACATAGGTATACCATACCGATCATTTACGATTTAATACGTCGTTTCGTACCTGATTTTTTTTTAATTTTTCCAAGGCACTCACTCAACTTTAAACTTAACAATATATATATATATATATATATGACCACTTATAATTTTTCTTCTATAAATATAATAATTGTACACATTTTTATAATATATATATATATATATATATAAATGTAAATGGACGTGCAGTGAGTACCATGGCCGGAAGGGATGATTACATTTTAACCTCCAAACCGTTGTTTAAATGATTTTGTTTGGTCTTAAAACTCACTAAACCGAGTAGAATCACTTAACCACTAAATTTTAATTATTTTTTACTGACTTAATATTAAATATTCAAAAATTTAATTAAAATCGTTAACATCACGCATTAAACGTATAATTTTTTTTCTTTGAATAAAATTATGTATGTTTAAGTTATTGAATAATTATAAATCATATTTGGACCATGCTTTTTAATCATCTGCAAACTTAATCTTTAAAAATTTACCATATTGTGTATTATCATTTGTGCGTTATTCGTTTTAATCTATTTAAATATTCTAGTTTTTGAGCTCTTTGAGCGGTGACCTCGACATCGATTGTTCTTTTTTCTCGAGTGACCCATTAAATTTAATATAAACTAAATGCATATGAATGACTAAATAAATCATAATTATATTTTGATAAAAAGTATTCATTTTTAAGCTGTAATTATTTTCTTACATGATTAAGTCGACAAATATATTCATACATGTTCATTAAACATAAAACTCAATAGATAAGCATTTTGGATTTATATAATTGTTTATTATGATAAAAATTATTTTTACTTTAATACAAGTTATTTTACTATACTATCACTTATATATCTAATAATTTGGATATTAATTAAATATAAAGGAAAAATAATCCTCTATACTTTATACTTTATTTTGACAGTCGCTAGGTCAATAACTGTACTTTTAGATAATGTATGATTCTAGGAGCATCAAGAAATCCCCTTGAATTCTTCTTACGTTATCATTCATAGTGTCGTAAATCTATATTTCGATGGTATACCTCTACCTAATTTGAGAACTCAACGATCATGAATTAACCATTTACAGATCAGATAAAGGAATAAGATTTAATATTGTGGCACACAAATATAAAACATTAATTTATACTAAATACTGAAATTATTTTAATAAAACAAGTCATACAAAATCACAGGTCTTCAATACGTAAACACACATACGCGTCCCGATTACGAAATGTAATTAACCGATGTCTTCTTATTGCAGTGTTCACGCTCTTAAAATAATTTTTTAAACTGCTGCCTTAGCTCATTTGTTTCATTTTACCTATTCATTGGAATATGACACAGTGGTCTTTATAACAAATTTTATTATAATTATTTTAATATTATTCTATTTGATTTTGTATGTGACAAATTGATTGGAACGTACAACAATAAGTAATATTATAGTAATTAATTGATTATTCAAGATGTTTGAATCACTATAGATTTATTCACTTTTACAGTTTTCAAATTCCGAGAAAAAATAAATTTGTTTTGAGAAAATTAGTGGAAATCATTTTGATTTCTACACATCATGATATACATACGAGTACATATTTAGTAATTTTGTGTATGTGTGAAAATACTTTATTCTTATTCCACAAGTACCAATTTTATTTAAAACAATTCTAAATTTTTGACATTTTTTTTTTTTAATAAGTAGACATTTATCATACTTCTATCGTAACCTAAAAGACTAATTCACTTCATCAATAAAAATTTGATTAAACTTCATATATATTTTTATATACTTGAATTAATTTTATATATATTTCAAATATAAAAATAAATATTAAGCTTATTTTTGCTCTGAATATGAATATATATATATATATATATATTCATTATATGTAAATTTCTATGTAGGAATTATTACATTTCAGAACATAAACAAAAACACTGTATTGACAACTATGATTCGAATTACATTAATAACTTCCAAACTAAAAATTGTATTAATACTAAATACTTTAATACTGAATTCCATATGAAATATAAAATAAAATATAAATATAAAATCATTTATGCAAATAAAATGTAATGTATTTTAGATATTGTAGATTATTTTTAGATATTCAGTTTGTGGATAAGAAATATTGTGTTTTTAATGCACATTAAAAAGAGTACTGTAGGTTATAGTATTTTGGCAAAGGCATTTAACTCAAGTTAATTCTCACTACGGTGTTGTAATTTTCTGTTCCGGGTAACAATTGAATTAAAAATAACAGAATCCTTCTTATGATTTTTATTTTAGACCCACCTGGAGAATTGCCAGTTTAAAGAAAAAAATTATGCAACTGAAAATCTCAGAAAACAATAAATTAAAAAAAAAAAAAACTTAATATTATTAAATGGGATAGAAGATTTTAAATTATTTTGTCAAAAAAACTCATTGTAATACATTTATTTATATCTTATTATTGCGTAAGGTGGTAATATGCCCACAGTAAAAATCATTTAAAATGGATCGTCAATCCATAATGATTTATTTTACTTGTAAACAGCAATAATTTTCATGAAATCTTTAATACTAAATCATAAATAAATAACATATTCAAGAATAACTTTATATTTCATTTAAAAAAGGTATCTTTATATGTACCTTCAAATGAATTAATTTAAAACATTAATCTTAGTTGCTGCAATTTATATATATATATATATTGATAAATATCCGTTGCTTCATATTTTAGTTAAAAAAAAATCGGGCTTATACCAAAAATATAATATTTTTATAACAATGTTTTACATCAAGTATCAACAATTATAAAATATTATTATTATAAAAATCATCCGCAAAACCATTTTATTTTAAAATTTATTTAGATACAAAATATCACATTTTACATGAAATGTAATGTTTTCTGCAATGATATTATTATTAAAATGGGGATATAGAATTTCGTTATATTCAAGAATTCCAGTAACTCATTATTTTTTGGATAATTGCATATATTTTATTATAAAATTGTTCCGAAACGTAAATTTTAGTAAATCAGTTAAAACCAAATGAATACCGTTGATGAAATTCTATTCAAATAATAGCATATCTGATTTGAAACTAATTCATAACGTCAACGATCTCTAACAAAGTGGTTGAAAATACCAAACAAAATATAAACGACATGAATTGTGAGATTTGCAACCGAGAACACAATATGTTCGACTATAACAAAGTATAAAATTTTATATATATATATATATATATATATATATATATATATATATATATATATACCCACACACACACATATGGTGTGATGTATAATAAACTAGAATAATTCACAAACTGTGTTTGGCAATCTGTGACTTGAAAATTCACATTACACCAAGTCCACGTAATGATACAAATGGAAATTGGTATCAACTTCGTGTCTTAATATATTATACAAATCAATATCATTAAATTTTACAGAATAATTCAACAAAACTCGTATTTGTTTCCTAATGGGTAAAGGTTATCCTGAATTTATTATCATACTTTAGAAGGAATACGCGTATTATATTTACCGAACTCAACCGAAACCAAATTGATGACTGATATTAAGCGGACTCCAAACATTATACGCTCATAAGTAATTTAATCAATCAATTAGGGCAACCCGGACACAATTTTACCAAATACACTATAAATTCTATCTATATTTTTTCTTCAAATTTTACACGGTAAAATAATATCTATAATAGTACTATAAAATATACAAGTCGATCTATATTTTATAGTAATAATATTGTAACGTTATGATTTAGATATTTTTACATATATCAAAACATTATAAGAAACTTATAAATAAATGTAAACAATATGATGTACAGATTAAACTATATTATTCGTGTTTCAACATAATAGGGTTTTAATTTTTCATTTATATTTCTCATAGCATAAATAGCTCTATCTTGCATATTATTACTAAACTTATAATTATACAAAATATCTAAAATACATTGAGTATTTTTTTTAAGTTCTTCCGAGTACTAATTTTAAAACCTAAATTGTTATAAGTTTTTAATGTAATAGATCTTGTACAATACATAATATAATACAACTTTTGGAGCAATCTTTGTACCCATAAAGCAATTTCAGGAAAAAGAATACTTCATAAGTTTATAAAACCGATAGGTAACCAAAAACTATTTACTGACTCAGAAAATACAATTTTCTTAAATTTAAATTGCTTAAATAATAATAAATAAATATCGATTAATGATATTTACAGACAAATATATGTATTGATATTTTTTCAATAGGTATCTTGTCTTATGAGATGTTTTGGGAAGATTTATTTTATTTATTTAACCTGAAATACTTTTAAACTTACAACTAGTTTATTTAAATAACACAACT